TCAATTACATCACTTCGTGTGGACTGCTCTTTTACTTTTAGGGCTCGTATTTATTATACACTATATGTATAACATAATCTTAATTATAAGTAGGCAGAAAGTTGATTAAATCCTTGCTATAATTATGATTTTCAGCATCAAAAACTTTAAATTGAACATCAAATGCTCATATGCAACACCCCCACACTACCAACGCACGAAACACACACACTTAACTTTCATTTTGATTTTTTTGATATTACAAAAACACAAAACACCTAATAACACAAAACAACAACACAAAACACTTAGGCCCAGAACAGACGGTGAAACGCAACTGCAACGAAACTGCAACTTTCTGATGATTCTGATGAATGAAACTGAAACTGAAAGTTACAAACTGGTCGCGTCATGTGAGGTCTCTCAACGGACGCTATGGCAGAAATTTAGATGCAACTCAAAAGTAACTAGCAGTTGCAGTTTCGTTGCAATTGCGTTTCACCGTCTGTTCTGGGCCTTAGAACACACTCAAACACCTACACCGCCACAGAAAATTAACATGCGCCTCAAAACACACTCCTCCCAACCCAACCGACCAGTTTCAGGGCCAGTCTGAAAATCAGCGCTGAGCTTGTAGCTCAGCATTATGCTGAGACTGGTACCTTTTGCTTACCTATAAAACTGTAACTTCTTAAGTTCAATTTTTTGTTTATAATTTTTAATTTTTCTTTGTTACTGTGTACCCATTCACATGTACTAAGTAGGTACATTATTTATTTTTAGTGTAGCAATATTTTTTTTCATTTTCATTAAGTAACACTGAAAAAAGCTGAAATAAAGTTTCTTTAAGATTTAACCGCGAACTAAATAAGTACCTAAACACATCGTTGACACCGGTAACTAAGTAATTATTATTATAGTAAGGATTTTAATCAACAGCCTTTGGTAGTATTGTAAGCAACTATGTATTTAGTATTGTAAGAACTCTTGAGAATTTGGTTTCTTCTCCACAGTGTAGAATATGATTTGTAGGGCAGGGTATTACATTCTGTTGCGGTATACCTGATTACCCAAGATTCCAGGTGCGTTACACCGATTTGTAATTCTATGAGCTGAGTTACACGTTAGTATTGGTGCTTGAGTTGCTACTCGTAATAAAATGGACCACATCGTCCGACACAAGAAATCACTGTTTGAAATACCCGGCATACACGCAATGTGTCCATACATAGGTACAGTCAACGTCAAATAGTTCGTAACACCCAAAGAGGCCAAAAAGTTGACAACACAACCTTATTCCATTTTTTTAACCGACTTCAACTAAAGGAGGAGGTTCTCAATTTGGTTGGTATAATAAAAAAGACACGTTGGGAAATTTTGGCTACTTTGGGAGTCACGAACTATTTGACGCTGACTGTACCTAAGCTTTTAAAAATAGGCCTTCCAATGCTAGATAACCCTTCGATATTTTCGCCCTATAGTACCTACCTACGTACTTGTTAAATCATTTCTTCCTAACTTTGTTCGTTTCCGGTATCGTCTGAGAACTGATTATGCATTTAGACGAAAATAAGACGTAAGAGCACAACGTAAATTTTATTTACCTATATTTTTTTATTTCCCTACACTGTGGAACTCTTCAAGACATTGTATTCGACTGTTTCTTGTGATTGCTAGGTATAATATTAGGTGCTTAACTATGAAATTGTTTTTTTGGCGTGGGTTTGAAAAATTACATATATTTCCGTTATGAGTAGAAAATCCAAAATTATAAATTGCGTATAATTTATTTAACAAAAATACTTATTATGATTTAGTATCAGTAGTAGAGAAACATATCATGTCAATGTTTTTAGAATTTTAGATCTTAAACTGTAGTTGTAAAACTTTTAACACCACTTTCAAACAAAAATAATAAACAGGAGTTTTTAATTTTAAAGTTAGAGGCGTTGTATTTCAGATTCAGAATCTTCATAGTTAGCACCTAATTAGTATTATAAGTCGTACTATTGCATTTTATTCAAATGGATCTCAATTGTTTTAGTACTTAGTTAACTTATGTTATTGGTCAAAGGTAAAGTCCGCCGCTCTGACGCTTGTTTCGCCAACATTTTGTGTTGTAATTAATAAATTAAAGATGATTTCGTTTCAAGTTGTAAAATGTTTTTTATCTTGTTAATCTTTAGTAACTACACTTTCATTTTTGTATCATTGATGTTATGTAACCATAATTATTATCTACGTGCCTACTTTTTTACTTGTCTCCTTTGAAAATTGTGTTGTATATTTAAATTATTCCTTTTTCTTTATTTGTAAACGTAATAAATTCAGCGGCGAGGCTTTAAATTAACAACTAAGCGACCTTTGGCTTTAGCAGTTAGTGTTATGATATTGTATTGAGTAAGTATGTGTATTAGCGCACACAGTGCGCGCATTTTAATCATTGAATAAATGTATGTTATTAACCATCAACCAATGTTTTATTTATAAATTAGCACGCCCTTTTCTAAGGATTGGTTGCACCATCTTACTTTCGCTTTAACAAACGTCAAAATTCTATCAAACTCCATACAAAAACAGTGACTGTTACTTTTAAAATAAGGTGGTGCAACTCAGCCTAAGTAAGTATGTGTTATCACCAATAGTTCTTGAAACTCACGAAGGCGAGTTAGCTTTACTTGTGTGTGTACGTGTACCACACATAACGATAACGATAGCGATAGCATGTCTGTCAATTTTTTTCAAAAACGAACAGTGGGTCTAGACAAAGTGCAAATTATAATCGCAAACCAGTCGAAAAGTGGTCGACAAGCCCCTTTTTTGTATGGAGTTTGACGGATTCGATTTTCGATTCGATCAAAAAGTGCGTTTTGTCTAGGGGGGCAGTAGCAAGCCACCAAACATGCACGGTATAGATGACCCACGCTGAACTGTCCCACCAAACTTAATGACAGGGGGCGCTACCATCGTTCAACTATATGGTTTCCAACATGGCAAAAATCGGAACCAGCGATCCGGTCAGGCCTGGCTCACTCCGCGCGGTACATCCGATAATTACCTACAACGAAGCGCCCCGCCGGCGGGTATTATATCAGTCGAGTGTCACGAGCGCGCCCGTCAGTTTTTTTTTTTTTTAGTAGCTTGAGGAGCTTTTCCAGCTTCACCGGGCAGAGTGGCGAGTACAGAAGGTACTCTAGCCGTTTGGCGATCGTCGGTGCGCGTGCCGACGAGGCCGAGTGTGGGCTTCGCGAAGCGAAGCCCAGGCTCGTCCGCGTCGGTCGCAGACCGACGTTCGCGATCGGGCCGTATCGAGCGCATAAGGCGCCCGATCAGTGGCGAACCCAACTAGAGGGTTGCCCACCGCGGTGTTGGACCAAAGTCCAGCCTACGGCGGGCTCACTCTAGTGGGCCCGATCGAGGGGACTACGGACGCGGCCTGAGGGCGCCACGGTAGGCTCGGACCTCGGCTCAGGCCGTGTCCGGGGGACGGATAGGGGGCGCCCGTCAGGACGCTGGCGTGCGTTGTAGTAGGTACCTAATTCTATGATCGAAGTATTATTTAAAAATGGACATAAAGAGAAAGAAATATTATTGTGCGGCGTTCGGGGGGTTACCTACGCCATATCGAATGACAAATGATCGAAAATCAAAATATCGAATACGTTTCATCGAACGATCAAAATATCGAACGATCAAAATATCGAATGCTCAAAATATCGAACGTTCAGAATATCGAAAGATCAAAATATCGAACGATCAAAATATCGAACCATCAAAATATCGAAAGTCGATATAGACGTTTTTATTAAATTTCATCTACCTTGCTCGGCTCCGGTGCATGGTTGTGTTTGGTGACATGACTGTTTTTCCTTTTTGGGACAGGCTAGGCTTATAATAGGTCCCCACGGACATTATTCTCCAAATTTATAAACTTTTCAGGCACAAAAATACTTAAGGCACACATTAACTGGCAAAACAAAACTGTACGACCAAACACAACCATGCACCGGAGCCGAGCAAGGTAGATGAAATTTAATAAAAACGTCTATATCGACTTTCGATATTTTGATGGTTCGATATTTTGATCGTTCGATATTTCGATCTTTCGATATTCTGAACGTTCGATATTTTGAGCATTCGATATTTTGATCGTTCGATATTTTGATCGTTCGATGAAACGTATTCGATATTTTGATTTTCGATCATTTGTCATTCGATATGGCGTAGGTAACCCACCGTAGACAGAGAATACTTACAGAATACAGTTTTCTCTGTCTACGAGTAAGCTATTACCGTGACAAATATGTAAAGCTCACTCGCCTTCGTGAATTGCAACAACCACTTAGGTACTTATAAATTGCTCGAACGGCGAACCAGATTTGTACAGTCGACAGCACATCCGACTATACATTTTTTTGCAAAATAGCACGTATTATGATTTCGCAGTGTAAAGCTTGACGTGCTGCTGTCTGTACCTACTAATATTATCAGGATGATGAGGGTAGACTAACACACAAACTTGCGTTACATTGGTAGGGTTGCCAGGCTTTAGTCTGGCCTATCCGGCTTTTGTTAGGCTTTTTATTTGGCCTGCTGCACCAGGCGAAAGTTGAGCCACAGAATAATATGAAGCGCACGCATCAGGATGTTATGTTGGGCAACCGATGATACGATGACAGTACTCACTCGTGACCACGGGCTGGAAGACGTAGCGTGGGCAGGCCTCCTACTAGGTGGACCGACGATCTGGTAAAGGTTGCGGGAAGAGCCTGGATGCGGGCAGCGCAGGACCGTTCATTGTGGAAAACCTTGGGGGAGGCCTTTGTCCAGCAGTGGACGTCATTTGGCTGAAACGACGACGACGACGACTCACTCGTGAGCCAGGACGCTAATTGCACTTATATCTGGCTGGGTAGGTAAAATCAAATAAACAGACTTAAAACGCTTGAATTTTCGTAGCATTTTGAACTTTTTGCAGTTAGTTAGGTAATGATCAAGAATAAAAAAACAAAAAGAGAAAATGATGCGTTGACATGCGTCATTCTCTTCTTTTTTCCGGTGGTCTAAATTCGCGTGCAAGCATTTTACACAAATAACAATGGTAAACTCTTGAAAATGGAAAAATCGGAGACAAACGACGATGTCCAACAGAACCAGGATGACAATACCACCTCATTGGTGATGAACACCTTCTACAAAGTGGCCAATGACGCAGGCGTCACTGCTGAAGACATAACTAAATACCTCGTGGGCAAGTTTGGAGACGTTTGGCAGGTGATCAGTCCACACTTTACATAAACCTTAGTACCTACTAGTTAGGGAGTCACGCTGCAACTAGCTCAATGCATAAGCTCAATGTTACTACTACCATGTAGCATTATCATAATGCTTAAAAAATGGTACAATGTAACAAATTAAGTAGGCACTTACCTACCTAGTAAGTTAGTGGGATTTTTGCAGAAATGCTAATACTTATTATTACTTTTGATAAACTTAAAGCTGGTTACACTTAAAATTTAATCTGAATTAGTTATATCGAAACTGATCCGACCTCTTTTCTCAATTAGAGTTGGTAAGATTAGCAGAAGCTCGGTAAGAAATAGATCGTGAAGAAAAATATGAAAAATCGTTTTTGACCTTCAGGTGTCCACGCTAACAAGTAAAGCTGAAGAAGCTTTAAAGCGCAAGGCAGCTGATGGCTTGTTGGAGCAACAAGGAGACCGGTTTATAGCTGCGCTGGCCAGGGAGACTGGTTGCGGGAAGCGGCGGCGCCGCCGGAGTTGCGGCAGGGTGCGCAAGCGTAGGCGCCGAAGCTGCCGCCGCAAGAGGAAAAAGAAGCCGTGCTGTTGCAAGAAAAACTAATTCCCGTGGTGTTCTGTGAAATATTAAGTACCTACATGTATTGTCATCGTACCAGTCCCGTTTTGAAATAAATTACAATGTGGTTAATAGATCATCTTTTATTTCATCAATGAGAAATTAAATGACAAAACAATACAGTTGCAAGAATTTTCTAACTAGACAAAATTCACAACACGGGACAAACAACTATCGAGTGAGAGAGAAAACTAGCATTTGCGTGAACGCCTTCGACAACTTCTTCGTCTGATCTTACGACGACGCCTTCTCCTGCTGCAACTCCTGCGCCTCTTCCCACAAGTGTCACGCGCCATCCAGTTCATATAATGAGATCCTTTCCTTTCCAAGAATCCCAGAGCTGTCCCATTCTCCAATATCGCCTCGACCAATTTGTCCAAATCTTTGGTATCGTTGCTCAAGTCCTCCCTCACGTGCTTTATGATGTCACTCGCAGTTGCCCCATCTTTGTTCTCTTGGAGGAACTGTATGACCAGCCTCCCAGCACCAACTTCCAAATCCGTGGGCAATCGTGGTTCTAACGTTTGGTCCATCGCTATAATTTTGATGGAATGCCTAAATTTATTACAATTATTTTAGCATTTCAAAATTTGATAGAGTTTAAAATTCTGAATCTTGACGAAAACAAATTTGGCATTATTGACAAAGTAAAAATGACAACTGTAACTATTCTGGCAGACAACGTAATAATGAAAGATAAATAAAAGATTCAAAGAAGGTTTACTTAACTAAAATTAGCGAACCTTTATTTAATATTTTGTGTGACATCCTGAAGTTACTGGTGAGCAATAGACGAAGAAGAATGATTGACAGGAGACGTTCTTTTATCAACAGTCACGTCAACTTTTTATACATGTTTTGAAAAATTGCGTTAAAGATTTTTTAAAGTTTTTTATGCTATTTATCCCAATGGGTACAATGTTATGGTCGTAGAAGCGGAGGCAAAATGTCACACAACGAAATACTGCAGAGGCAGGAGCAGAACACCGCCAAGCTGGTGATGAACACCTTCTACAAGGTGGCCGGCACTGATGGCGTCACAGCAGACGAAATCACAAGGTATAGCATCAATCCATTGGTATTTGAAATGAATGGGACGCTTAGAAATCATGAACCTCTCATGATAATAATATGGCCAATAAGGTAGAAGACCTGTGACCAAATATTTGTAAAGTTAAAGTAACTTACCAATTTTAATTAAAAAGATAATATCGTGAAATTACTAGAATACCCACGTAAATGCTAAGTAAGTACTTATTGAAACTTAGGTAGGTAGATCATGAAATATTACGGTATAAATTTTTATTATTCTCAAAGATTTAAGTTACATAAAATCACATAAAAGATACAATATTCAAATACATACATAAACCTCACGACTATTAGCGTACAGGCAAGTAAGTAACAATTATTAGAGTCAAATGTTTAAGTTCCCTACTAGACTGCGAATTATTCAAAAATTATGTGAAGATAACCATGTAAAATTCGTAAGTTCATACGAACGTAAACATTGACAATTTTAAAATGAGCTATGGAACTCGCAAGGACTAAATAATTTGGACTAGATAAATAAAAGTTATTAAGATTAAAAATTATGCGTCTCAAATGTATAATATTTTTTTAATTGAAAAAGTCGAATTGTGTCCTTCCAGGTACCTGCAAGAGAAATTCGGCGATGTATGGCGGATGAACGCGTTGACGGGCAAAGCTGAAGAGACGCTAAAGCGCAGTGCGGCTCTGGGTTTCCTGGACAGGCTCGGCGACCGGTATGTGGCGAAGATCGCCCGCGAGATGGGCTGTTGCCGGCGTCGCCGCAAGCGCCGGCGCAGTTGCCGCCGGAAGAAAAAGAGGCGTCGCAGCTGCCGCCGACGCCGCCGCCGTCGCAGCCGCCGCCGCCGCCGCAGGAAGCGCTCCTGCTGTTGCGGGAAGTAGCTACTGGCCGAGACTTCGAATAAATTACAGTGTTTCGTAAAACAGACTTTTATTTTGATCTGAAAATTGCTAGTCTATAACCTAGTTTCAATGAGGTACAATGTTTAATAATTTAGGGCCTGTCCAGGAGGGCGAATTCGCTACGAAATCCTACGCGCGAACATGTGCATATTGTATGACGAGATTTAAGCGCAAAACTTTTCAACTCGCGCGTGTTTATGGACGCAATGTAGGTACTTATTGGCTCCTAGTATCTCGCCAACGCGCGTATGGTTGGGACTCTACGCGTGTAAATTCGCCCTCCTGGACAGGCCCTTATGCCTAATGTGTAAAAGGGAGGGAAAAAAAAATTATTTTATGGGACATGTTCTTTACTTTCCACGATACAAACGATCACAATTCCATAATTATAACGGACAAAAGGTGAATGAATCATCACTTTTATCCTAGTTGCAATATAACAGGACTGCGTCACGAGCTTTTCTTTGTAGTATTTTCGTTGCCGACTGCTTTAGGTTCAGGCAACGCAGTCAGCACCACAGATTAGAGATCTAAAGTTCAGCATCGCCGACGCTTGCGCCGCCGCCTGCCGCAGCTGCGCCGACGCCCGACGCGCCGGCGACGCCGCCGCCCGCACGTCTTCCGCGACCAGTTCATATAATGGGACCCTTTCCTCTCCAAAAACCCTAATGCTGATCCGTTTACTAGTACAGCCTCAACGATCCGCTCCAAATCCAACTCATCGTTGCCGAGAGTAGAGCGCAAGTATCGCAATATCTCTTTTGCAGAGGCCCCATCTTTTTTTTCCTGGAGGTACTGTATGACCAGCCTCCCGGGTTTCGGGGGGCGATTTTCTTTAGGTGCCTCCGTTGCCATAATGAAAACTATGTCCATGGACCTATAAAAAAAGTCGGACGGAGTCTCATCAACAAAATACTGTGACATTAGGATACACCAGCTTGCCTGTACGTACAGGCCGGCACGCACACATTCACACCCTGTTACACCACTTCGAGAGCAAACTTCACACAGTTGACACATTTAAGCAGCGAAAAAACAACACGAATACGACATGTCTTGTGTGATGAAATTGTGTAAAAACCGTTCTGTTCGAACAAACAAAAATTAAGGAATCACATTTCACAGGTAAAATAATAATCCAATCACTTATTTCCCGACATTAAAATATTGAAATTAATTGAAATCAAACGTCATTCACTCGAAAAAATAATACGTCAAAGACCAGTGTTCTCAGTTATTTACGTGGGAAAATTACCCGAAATATGGGAAATTAATAATGATTTTAGGACTTTTTAGTTATGTATTACGCATACTATGGAAATAAAATAATTTATCATAATTATTGTGTTTTAATGGGATATATTTTCATAGGCAAATTTGATCCTTCCCAAAAATGTGGAACTGCGAAATTCAAATTTTCTTACATTGATTGCAAGTCAGTGTCAGGTTGTATGTTAAAAAAAATCTATCAGAGATAATAATAATATATTGATGATGCATAAGATTATGATTATAATGTACACAAGATTCGTAATTTGTAACTGCGTGAATCATTTTTGATCAACATTATGTACATACCCTGACACACTGACTTGCAAACAATGTAAGAAAATTTGAACATTGAAAATTTCGCGCCTACCTCAACGCATACACCTTTCATCCTTTTAAAATGGCACGGAATAATACTGTCTACATTTCCAAGTAACATCTGCCGATCTATGTTTTTCTTAAAATAAATGGGTAAAATGTTTTGGCTAACATGGCATCCCTAAATTCACTCACACAATAGACAAACGCCAAAATTTTGCGTCACAGTTTTGTTGTAGCGCGAGTTCCGTCCGCCTTTTTTTATAGGTCCATGACTATGTCCAATTTATTACGACATTGTGTTTTGATTATTCTACAAAATAAGTAAGGATGTGTAACACTGCAATAATTTTAACTTTTAAGTGACATTGACTGACACGCAAAGAATATATTTATAGTTCCAAACATGTTCCAAAATACTGGACTGTCCTGTCGATGACATTGACAGTGGGGCGCCACCGTCAATACCGGATCGCTGGTTCAGATTTTTGCCATGTTGGAAACCATATAGTTGAACGATGGTAGCGCCCCCCTGTCATTGAGTTTGGCGGGACAGTTCAGCGTGGGTCATCTTATACACGTGTGACATTATTACCTTACTAGCTTTCCGCCCGCGGCTTCGCCCGCGTGGAATTTTGTCTGTCACAGAAAAACTTTATCGCGCGCGTCCCTGTTTCAAAAACCGGGATAAAAACTATCCTATGTTCTTTCCCGGGACTCAAACTATCTCTATGCCAAATTTCATCAAAATCGGTTGCGAGGTTTAAGCGGGAAAGCGTAACAGACAGACAGACAGACAGACAGACAGACAGACAGACAGAGTTACTTTCGCATTTATAATATTAGTTAATAAAATTTCCAATTTTACAGACCTTCTAGAGCAGATGCCGCAAAAACTATACAAGATATAGAAAAACTTGACGGTCTCACCTGTAGCAAATTGAATAAGCTTTTTTTGGTTCATAGTAGTCATGTCACTAGGACGCATAGTTTCCGAGGATTAAGCGAAAAACCGAAAAGTGGTACCTTTAAACCCCCCTCTCCCCGCCGGCTCAAGGGCTAAGGGCGGGGACTTTTGCTATGTTCACCACCTAACTAGGCTAAATAAAGTCTCGAGGTCAGAAATTGTGTTCCACGGATTTCTCTCTACACCGTCGTTAAGGCATTCATTGACTGGACTAAACGAGGAAGCTCTTGGCCTGCATCCTGCATCTCACCTGGTGGAAGGTGGTGATACTGGTGATTAAGCCGGAAGATGGAAGCTGATTTCAAAAGCGTAATGAAGTGTCACCTGGCCATAAACAAAATAAGAAGATGTATAACAACATTCTTCATACACATACCTAAAATGTATAGGTAGGCATTCGTACTTCATGTTCATTAATATTAAAGTCATAAATAAAAAAATAAACAGTATGAAGATCGTTTAATCCTATTTCCCCAGTATTGCACTCAACAAAGTTTATTTTCCCCATTTGCCATGAGATTCTGGTACACCTATAGTTCAACCCAATGGTTGAACCACGGTGTTGAACCACGTCTAAACTCACTGACAGGGGAGCGCCACCATCGTTCAACTACATAGTTTCCAATATGACAAAAATCGGAACCAGCGATCCGGTATTGACGGTGGCGCCCTTCTGGTTCAGATTTTTGCCATGCTGAAAACTTTAAAAGTTGAACGATGGTGGCGCCCCTCTGTCAATGACTTTGGTGAGACAGTTCAGTTAGGTCATCTTTATTATTGGATGATGGACCTAAGACCTACCTACCGACCTACTTCATATTAATTTTATGGACTCGGTCCGTGTATGTTGATCACTGACTAACTGCTCGAGCTGTCCGTGTATTGCCGGCCTAACTCCATACAAAATACACCTGGATAATGTTAGGCCGGCAATACACGGACACCGCTCTTGCAGTCAAGAGTCAACAGCTTGAAGCTGCCAGTGATAACTGCTCGAGCAGTTGGTATTAACTGCTAAACAAATCACAAGCGCGCGCGCCGTAGAATGAAGAAAGTGGGCGGAGGTAACAGCGCGAGAGCTGTCGACAGCTCGAGCAGTCAGTGTATGGCTGGCGACTGCTTGACCGCACGATGAAAATAATCACCGTGCTGTCGACCGCCCCAGTGTTTTAGAAACCCTCAAAATCGGACATGATTAAGTTAATGCCATGAGTCGATAGCGTCTTGTTTCAATTACAAGAGTGAAACTCACGTGTGCTCATTTTACTTGGTTTTTGAGAAAAAAATTGTGAAAGTTGGCCGTTTTTAAAATTCCTAAAAATGAAAAAAAAATTTTTTTAATCATTCAGAGGGTTTGTAAACTTGTGATAAAGCTGATTGATTGATCATTAAAAGACGCATGTATTGTACTTTATTTCATTTCTACAAGTCAAGTACACTCGCGAGCAAAACTATGGAATCACTTACATGAAGTTGTTTCCACGCGAACTTCTGTACTAACGAATTTGTTAGTAACAAAAAAAGTGGCACCATTTTAAAGATTAAACTTTTATCTTTAAATTGATACCAAATTCATTTAAATCACACCAGTATTTAAGAAGATATCCCGGCTGATGTGAAGAAGTAACGAAAAAGATGTATGAACTGTTTGATACGTCGCGAGTTGCGGCCTATTTAACCCCTATAAAAGCACGCGTTTATAGATTTTTGCTTTCACACGATGATTCATACACATCTCCGCTTCTTTTGACACTATACCTGGGATTCTACACCTTCAGAAGCAGCACAAATCGTTGCACTATTGCAAGAAGGGCTCAGCCAGCGGGCTGTCGCACGTCAGCGCCACATAAGCCAGTCCTGGGTTTCGAAAGTTTCAAGACGCTTTCGGGAGACTAGTGGCTTTATCCCGAGACCAAGTTCTGAACAGCGCCGGTGCACATCGCAGAGGGAAGACCGTTTTTTCATGTCAACCTCTCTATGAAATCGTCATTTGACTGGAATCGATGTCCATCAAGAGCTCAGAAATGTTCGTAAGATAGCTGTTAGCGAGTGGACAGTTCGTCTAAGATATAAGCAATAGAATTTGACTCCAAAAAGGCCTGCCACAGGCTCGAAACTGACGGCAGGTCACCGATAAGCACCCTTTCAATTTGCTCGTACACATCTCGATGGGAAGGCGAGTAATGGAGGCGAGTTCTGTTCTCCGATGAATGCAAACTGTGTTTGCAGGGCAGCAGTCGAAGAGGTCGGGTTTATAGGCGGCCTGAGGAGCGATTTGTGCAGTGCTGGTTCGCTGAAACAGTGGCTTATGGGGGTGGCTTGCTCGACTTAACATCGAGATGTGTACGAGCAAATTGAAAGCGTGCTTATCGGTGACCTGCCGTCAGTTTCGAGCCTGTGGCAGGCCTTTTTGGAGTCAAATTCTATTGCTTATATCTTAGACGAACTGTCCACTCGCTAACAGCTATCTTACGAACATTTCTGAGCTCTTGATGGACATCGATTCCAGTCAAATGACGATTTCATAGAGAGGTTGACATGAAAAAACGGTCTTCCCTCTGCGATGTGCACCGGCGCTGTTCAGAACTTGGTCTCGGGATAAAGCCACTAGTCTCCCGAAAGCGTCTTGAAACTTTCGAAACCCAGGACTGGCTTATGTGGCGCTGACGTGCGACAGCCCGCTGGCTGAGCCCTTCTTGCAATAGTGCAACGATTTGTGCTGCTTCTGAAGGTGTAGAATCCCAGGTAAAGTGTCAAAAGAAGCGGAGATGTGTATGAATCAACGTGTGAAAGCAAAAATCCGAAAACGCGTGCTTTTATAGGGGGTAAATAGGCCGCAACTCGCGACGTATCAAACAGTTCATACATGTCTTTTTCGTTACTTCTTCACATCAGCCGGGATATCTTTTTAAATACTGGTGTGATTTAAATGAATTTGGTATCAATTTAAAGATAAAAGTTTAATCTTTAAAATGGTGCCACTTTTTTTGTTCCTAACAAATTCGTTAGTACACAAGATCGCGTGGAAACAACTTCATGTAAGTGATTCCATACTTTTGCTCGCGAGTGTAGTTCCAGAGATTTTAATTATTTTTCATTATTTAGACTTTATTTTTTTTCTTCCATCCTAAATGGAATCCGCAATTTTTTTCATACTAAACAATACTTTGGTACCTATAGCCTCTATGTAGAAATATGTTTATCTTTTGTGGATCGTGTCTTGTACCAGAGATGTATGAATTTTTATTTTTTTTATTTTCGCCTATACAATTTTTTATAGCAATGTTGAACTCTTGTAATTGAAACATAAGACGCTATCGACTCATGGCATTAACTTAATCATGTCCGATTTTGAGGGTTTCTAAAACACTGTGCGCCCTAATCAGTTGCAACTGCTCGAGCGGTTCGTGTATGTGCGTTCATAGAACTCTGCAGTTCACTGTGCAGTCGCAGCTTGAAGCTGTCGGTCGACCCTGACTGCTTCAAGCTGTCCGTGTATTGCCGGCCTTATAGTTACCGTTAAAGTCAGCTGGTGCAACTCAAATAATTATTAATTTAAGTTAAGATATAGGACAAAAGAATTCGAACAGAAACTTCGTTATGAATGATCAATTATTTTATTTTTAAACTCTAAAATAATATTTACACGTCTTTAAAACATATTAATATAATTATGTAATAATAATCGAAACATTCAACATTCACAAGAAGTTTAAAAAGATCAGTACACGTATTGCTTTTTTTTTTAATATAAGGCTGTACTTATTAACAATTTCAACATTTCCAGCACTTCCCCGATTTCTTTCTACCGAGAACGACACTCTTCAGCTCAATCCATATTTTGACCCCACAGAACCACACAATATCATTCCAATCGATAAATACAGCCTTAACAGAGTTCCTGGAAGGGCAGTTGTTATGATTTCAATGAAATACAATGCTTTTAGTCCAGTTAATGAACGCTCGAAAAAAGGTATAGAGGGAAATTTTTGAGATACAATTTTTTTCGTAGCCTTATGGACTAGTTAGTAGGTAAACAAGACACCAAAGTTCTTGTCCGTAGTCCGTGTTCACTAGTCCAAAATTACTAAGTCAAAAATTGTGTTTCAAGCATTTCCCTCCATGCCTTTTTGTTGACTGGCCGAAATTGGTGACAAATGACATTATCATTAAAATATACCTAACAGTTTAGTTCTTGCGCCTAATTGACCGAGTTCTAGAGGTAGGTGTGGACGCATGAAATCATCATTGTCAAGTTAACTACATTAATCGAACGATATTGTTCCCTTCGCTTCTAATACTACACGCACCTACCTCAAAAACCATTACAATTAAGACAATATCCCTAAATATTAATTAGAGTAGAAGACAAGGTGTTTC